AAGCAAGGGCTGAAAAATAAAAGGAATAAATGAAACCATGAATGCATGGGAAACAAATTAACTGGATATGGTTTACGTTCTGAAATATTTCCATAATGCTTCTATGTAGTGTGTGTTTATTTTTCTTTGAATAATAATGTTAAAATGTGTCTAATTCAATTATTCTCTGCCTTCACTGAATGAGTTTTTCTCAGTGAAGAGTTCTCCTACACTACCCCAAGCTACGAATTCCATATGATATTTGAACAGGTCCTTTTAATTGCTGATATTAAGTGTCGATCATTCTGCTGTAAGTTGGCAGCGTGGCCAGAGAAAGAAATTCCTCTCTCAGATACATCAGACAGTCATTCAATTAACAACCAAAGCTTTGTTGACACAGTAGGAATTCATTATGTGAAATATTAAAAAAAGGCCTCCACTGACTAGTTTAAAAAAAAAAAAAAAGAGGGAGTGTTGAATTATCTACATGTAGATATTAAAATTATCCATGCAGAATTTGAAATCATAGTTACAATGCAAATGTTTTTCTCAAAGGTATAAGAAGTGTTTCTGTTGAAAAATAAGTTGGATTTTGAAAAGATGAATATAATGTACGCATCCTTATTTCCATAGACGTTGTGTGTTTTCTTGATTAAAAGCCTTAGATGTTAGGAGTTATGGCTTTAGACTTGCTGCGTAAAGAGCTTCGTGGCTTATTCTGTTAGAGTCTAATTTGAGAGAAAGTTCTTCCTCAAGGGTTTAAGAAGTAATTCATAAAATGGTAAGAATAATAAATATTGTGCCTTAACTCATACTCTAGGATAGATAGACAGATTTTGTACACCTGGGTGTAATTTTAGCTAATTCACACAAGAGACAGGCTGAAAGTTTATTGTTTGGAGGGAGAAAAATGGCTTAAATCTTGTATTTGCAAAAATGATTATATTAGCTTAAATGAAAATGCTACCCTATTAATGGCTTCAATAAGCTTTGCATTTGGAAAAGTATTTTAATAAAAAGTTACTTGAAGTTTACTGCAACTTAAAATATGTAAGTGAGGGAGAAGTACTTACTTTGATTTATATGTCTTTTGGAGGTGTAATTATTGGCTTTTTACTCACCTATGTAAAACAATGTACTTTTGTAAATGGATTTCTGGCCACTTTACTCCTTTTTTTTTTTTATTCCACATAAAAAGTAAGCACTGTCAATCAAAGAATTTTAAGGTTTATTTCCTCTTTAGAAATGATTGATAGCCTTTTAGATTTACAAGTTGACAAGTTAAAGGGTTCTATTGGTATAATTATGTACTAAATTCACAGTCTTTCAATTTAAATGTCCTTTTAAAACCGCGAGATTATCATACTTGTATTTTGAAAAGTGGGCCAGTCAGTTTGGGTTGGTATACAAATTGCTTCCATTAGCCTTGGGACCTATTTGAATTTAATACACCTTTTTAAAGTTAGTAGTACTTTCAATAGTACTTTTAAAATTTAGGGTAATGGGAATGCATTTTAAGTACAGTATGTGTTAGCTTGTTTTTAATGTATGGATGTCAAGAACACAAATAGAGAATTTGTATTCCTTATTGATTCTTTTTTCTAATCAAGGGAAAAAATGTTCTTTGAATTAGAGCCCTAGGAAGCCAGCCTTGCACTCAGCGGGGACACAGGTAAAACCTTGCATGAACCTGCTGCCTCACTGAGAGCTGCAGTGCCTGGAGATCAGAATGTAGTTTTTTCCCTTTGGAGAAAATGACGTAGGAATTGGTGTGACCTCAGTGCAGAATTTGGGGTTAAATATTTAAACAAGAATCTTTCCCTGAGATATGACTAATTACGTTTGACTTGGGATAAGGAATGGAGGGTTGATGCCATGCAATCTTCTGTTCAGACAGCTCAGGATTTCTTTTTAAAATTTATTATTTTTAAAATCTAAGATTGAAAGGGTTGAACAGTTAGAGACTAGTGAGTGATCTTTGACAACTGCTGTTTCAGACTCCTGCAAACTGCAGCCTTCCAAACACGCACCTTCCCCCAAAGTACACCAAGCTGAAGCTGCATGAAACAGAAAGTATTCAGTGCCTCTCAGAGGATGCTTGATGCCTTGTGAGGTTGGACCATAAAATTAACATTTTTTTTTGGTCATTTAGTTCAGAAAATACTCACAGGAAATACTCTGTGGATTTCAAATGTGTTGAATGTGTGGGAAGATATGAGAAAATGACTGCTGTCTCCAGGGGGATTTCAGAACTGGCCTCCATTTATAATATTGCAAAATTTAGTAACTACTTTCCCAAAGGATGTAAGGGGAAAGTGGCCATAAACTAGGCTGCATTAAGGAAGAAACACATATGACAGAACCATGCAAAAATCTTCTAGCATTCATAGGACGCTTTGAAAGTAATGCCTCCTATTTCTTTCCATGGAAGAACACAATAACACTATTTGATAACGCAAATTCTCAGCTACAGAACACTGTTTTTCAACACAGTCATCTCTGTTAGCTATTCATTTTCCCTGGGACTGAGCAAGAGGCTGCATGCTGCACTCATAACAACCTGCACCAGCAGAGGTAATCACAGTCACTTTGCCACTGCTGTACCGCAGCACCTACTGCCTCACTGCGCTCACCTCCACCATTTGGTCTCCATAAACATCCAGCAAGCGTTGGTGAATGTCGGTAGGTGCAATTTTTTTTTCTGCATGGTGGAGACTTCAGTGACGCACCTTTGCTTCTTGCACACTTCCATGTCAGGTGGCATTGTGTCAGTCTGTCCCTCTGCTGCCATTTCTCACAGGGCAACAAAGTAATAGTAGGAAGGTTCAGCCTTACTGCCACGCCACCAACATCCGCTTCCCACCTTGTGGGCCAACATCATAAAACAGGAGCTTTTGGAGCAGCACTCATATGTAAATCAGAGCTAGCCAGCTATCTGAAGAAGGAAAATCTCACAATCAGGGGAAAAGCTTCATTCTCACAACTTCCATATGAGGGCTTTAATACAAAAGCAAAAAAAGCAGATTTAATCGGGAATACCTACATTCAAGGAAATGCATTAAAAAAATGAGAGAACTAAAGAAATATCTTTGGGGCAATATAACTTCTGACAAAGCTCAGAAATTAACATCCTTAAAGATTTCTAGTCTGGTGTCTCCATAATGCCATAAGAGTCATTTCAGTATATGCTCAAAATATTTTCTTGTGTTAGAGAAATGCTGAGTTTCTGCTTTACTGTGTGCGTGCAAAAGTCTCACCCTTTACCCACTACCACTACCCACATAGAAATATGGTTTGAAAATAAAAATAAAAATGAAACAATTTCTTTGGAAGCTGCACTGTTTTGTGAGATTGTTTATGAAACACGACTTAATTGAGAACAAGTCAGGGACGGGATATTACTTCTGTGACAACAGTATGGTCTGCTAACACTTTTTCATGTTAAGAATATGAAAAAAAATGGGCTTTTCTCTTAAAATGTGGGCATTTGGACAAATTGTGTCACGCTAGACTGATGGAGCTGTGTAACTTACTGTGGAAAAAGCTGCATTGAGCCATGTAAGAGTGCTTACTACAAGTGAGGCTGGGAGATGCACTTTGATGCTAAGTCTTTTTTCGTGAATCAGATGGCATCATTCAAGTTCCATAAAGAAGTTCATAAAAAAACATGGTATAAGGTGCAAGATGTACTCATAATTTCATAGGCAGAACTTGTGCAAAAAATATTTTTTTTACAATAAATTAAGACCAAATATGACCCCAAATGATCCAAAAATGAAATGA